CAAACGATAGATAGAAAAAGATTACTGGGAAAATTAGATCAATATGGAATGAGAGGGATGGTATTGGAGTGGTTAAATCATATCTAAGCAATAGAACACAAATTAGATTTAATAATCAATGGTCAAAGTGTATCAAAACGGAATATGGAATTCCGCAAGGATCGGTACTATGGCCTTTGCTGTTTATAATTTATATAAACGATTTAGTAGAATTTCGTCCAGAAGAATGCAATATAAAAATGTTTGCAGATGATAGTAAGTAAGTGGGGAAAGTAGAATGTGTGCGGAATTAGAGAGGAAAATGAACATAGTACTTAGCATAGTAGAAAAATGGATGAGTGTAAATAAATTGAAAATGAATGCAAATAAAACAAAATACATGATAATCAGAAGTGTAAGAAAGGAGCAAAAAGGTAATATTATATTGAGATGCTCGGACGGAATTAAGTTTTGTCAACCGGGAAGATAATGGCCACTGTTTTTTGGGATCCCAAGGAATTATCTTCATTGATTACTTACAGAAGGGTCAAACAGTTATAGGAGCATATTATTCTACACTTCTGAATCGTTTGTACGAAGAGTGCAAACGAAACGGCCGAGATTGACGCGCAAAAAAATTATTTTTCACCATGATAATGCTCACACCTCCACAGTCGCAATGGCAAAATTGCATGAATTAAGATTCGAATTGCTGCCTCATTCACCCTATTCTCCTGATTTGGCTCCTTGTGACTTCTTTCTATCCCAAACCTCAAGATCTGGCTCGGGAGAAAGAAATTTTCGTCAAAATACGCATCCACAGCAGCGATGAGGAAGTCATCACTGCTGTGGATGCATATTTTGAAGACCTCGAGACTTCCTACTTTTTCGAAGGGATCAAAAAAGTGGAATCATTGGACTAAGTGTGTGGAGCTCCAAGGAGACTACGTCGAAAAGTGAAAAAGAATTTTCCGGAAAATAGGTGATTTTATTGCTTTTTTACCTGACTTAGCAAACAACTCTCGTACATTCAGTTGATCGGAACCAAGATAAAGTTGAAGGAAAACAAATTAAGTTAATCGGAAATTAAACTGAGTTCAAAATTAAACGCAGTTTACAGGAACTCTGATTTGAACAATGTTGGAAGAAATAGATATTAGAGGTTATATTGATGACAGATTGAGGTTATGGAACATATGTCTTAAAAAAGATATTTTTAAGATGTCAGAAAGACGTCTTTCTGATATAATCTTTCGAAAAACGTCTTTAAAAGGACATATTTAAAACGTCTTTCTGAAGACGTCTTTAAAACATGTCCAAAAGACATATTTATGACTTCTTTTGGTAAAGTCTTAAAGACGTCTCTTAGAAGACGTCTTTTAAACATCTTTTAGACATGCGTGCTGTCTGGGTTTGCGCATAATCTGTCTTTTTAGATTTGGCCATTGGGGAACATACAGTCCCTAACAGCATACATTACTACGAATTATCTCATTTTTGTACTGTTTGTACTGTAATTATCTGTAATGTACTGAGATTACGCTAGAACATCACTGACAGTATCATTTCTTTCGCGCGCGTATATTTTTAGGTTATACTGGAGGTACGAAAATAGTACGTACACCTTTCCATCGCGCGCGTATATTCTATAAACGTAACATTTGTCACAAAATATTATCGTCATAAATATATCATCATTTAATCGTTATTTTTAAGCCATTTTTAATAAATAAATAACATTATTTGAAATAACATTATTAATAATCATAATACATAATGAAATAACATTGAAATAACATTATTAATTACTATTTTTCTTTAATTAATTAATTAAATATAATATATAAATAAGAAAAACATTTCGCATATTTAATACAATTAGTAACAAATTCATAAACAAGTAAACAAAAAAAATATATATATATAACAATTTATAAATAATTTTCGTAAGAAAAATGATTTTCATTAAAAATAATATATTCATGGCTTTATATACCATATGTAATTAAATTATCTACAAGAATTACATATGCAATCGAGATTTTAAAATTGAGACTGTTTATATGACAATAGGAACATTCATTAACCAGATCTATCATATTTTATGCTAAAATTTTGTATTCATTTATATCATCATTTTAGTAGCAAGTTTCATCCCAACATAGAAGTGAAGCAGCATCGAGCCAGAATCCCAAGTTGGATCCCAAGTTGGGTGGTCGTTTTAGAAACATGCGATGGTACTAAGATAAAAAATGTTTCATCACTTTCTCTTATTATTTTTTTTAAATTTTTTCATTTTTTTCACTTATTTTCCGTAAGAGGTATCACGTATATTATAGATTTTCAGTACTAACAATTTTCAATATCGGAACGCAACCATAATCTATTGAAACTTCCCGTTTTCATCCTTTCCTAATATTGTCATCATTCGCAAATATTCGCGGCGAAATTCCATAGAAGATGTTACGCCGGACATATGAACGAACTTAGTCGATTGCAGTACGTATGAGAATATTCTGAGATGATCACAATATACGCATTGCGATCTTCTCAGAACATAGAACATAGAACGCGTGCTGTTAGGGGTATGTAAGATAATTTCTATGATATTATTGATGCATATATTGTGATAAGTATACGAAGCATGGTATCTCTATTCATAGGTACATGTAAATATTGGTGCAAATATATTGTATTTGTGCAGTTTATTTGCTAATAAATATATCTATTTTGTGTATAGTGTTTATTTTTGTTTGTCTTTATTTTATATATATATATATCTTTATTTATATATTTATTTAATCATCTAATTATCATTTAATATCTATTTCAAATTTTGATATTGAAAAGGATTACATGTATATATGAGACAAAAACCATCAACCCTACCATGATGTAAAAAGAAAGGTGTAACAACATCACGTCTGCGCAGTCTCGACCAATAAGAATTGGTACAAAAATGCTAGAAAAGCAATATAGCTGCAGCGCGAACTTCCGAAATTTTCCAATTAGTGCAGAGAAACATTAACTCATATTAGAGACGGACG